CACCGCAGGCGCCCGAGACGTCCAGCCCACCGCACTTCCGGTCCCTAACGAGAACGAAAGGCGGTGACGAGGTTAAATCTCGCGAGCTTTTCTCTAGAGGATCGCCCCGCCTCTCCCTGCGGGGCGGGGAGTAGCAGTGCGCCTGCGCCGGTCTGGGCCCTTGTGGGGAGGCCACTTCTCGCGGTATCTGAGCCCTAGGCTCCGCCCCCCACACGCCCCTCGCCTTTGTTGGCAAACAGTGCGCGGGCTGCGGGCGACTGTGAGGTCGGCTCGAGTGCGGTTCTCCCCTGGGAGGGCTTTGCGGTGGAGGGGAGGATGCTGCTCCCTGTACCCACACTCTCACAATTATAGTGTCAGGGCCCTCCCTCCCAGCCTCAAGGGCCCCTTCTCAGAAAGGAGGGCTTGCCCAGGTGAGGGGCAATCAGACCCGCTCCTTGGGAAGCCAGAGCCAAGCTGGCATGGAGGCGGGGTGGGGAGTGGGGGCTGTGGCCACAGGCACGCTGGAATGCTCAGAGGGGGTGCCCCGCCCAGGGGGTGCCCAGCTCGCTGCCACCCTGTGGATGCGGACACGGAGTACTGCCCCGCGAGTTTCCAAGATACGGGTGTAGAAAGCCTGGTCTTTCTTCCACAGAGCAGCTGGTGGTTTTGAACGATTGGCCTTCAGATCACAGCCCATCCTGTGATCGCTGCTGCCAGGGCTCCCTCAGTGTTTACCGAAGGCACCGACTTCAGAGGACCTGGCAAGGTGCCCTGGTGGCACCGCGGGTTTCGGGTTGGGCGGTGTTTTAGGGCACAAGACGCCCGATCTCATCTCAAACATAAAGGAGAACAGACATTAAGTCTTCTGAGGGTCAAAGATAGACACATCATCCGGATAAGGGAGCCTATTCACTTGAGGTTCCTAGTTAAATAAGGCATGGGATAAAGGAATGTCACAAACTCATGATTGGTGTCAGATCCATACAGTGACAGGGTGCTACAGAAGCAAGAACTGGGAACCATGCTTGGGACACATACAGGTTACCTAGAAGGGTTTATGCAATTAATCCAGGGCCTTCCACCTAAGACTGATAGGGCAGAATTCATGACTATGCCGCCCTCCGTACTGTCCCCAATTCAACCAGGACACACCCAGGCTCATTATGTTGCAAATACTCTGTTTTTTAACCACACATGTTGACTGTACACATGGACCTCACCAAATGGTGAGGAATTGAACAGGCTACATCTGTGAAGAGGAGAGAAAAGATCAGTGTTCGTCAGAGAAAGACTGGAACCTACTACAGGATAGACCCATCATATAAGGAGGCTTCCAAAAGTCTGTGGCAAAAATGAAAAGGTAATGGCACTTTCCTACAAACTTCATGAAGCCCCTCTCATATGCAAGTTCAAGTTGAAGCTGAAGAAAAAGAAAAGTCCGTTAAAGTCAATGGGAACTTGAGACTATCTTGCCTGAATTTAGAGACCAACTCAAGAACTGAGCTGATGCTTTGAACACGGCTGACTGGAGACCAGACGAGTCTTCAGGGATGACACGGAGGATATCATATGTGAAGAAAGCAAAAGGCTATTAATAAAGACAGGGAAGCCAGAGGAAACCAACATGGATGTTAGAAGAAACTCTGCAACTTACTCTAGAACACAGAACATAGAGAAGACTGGAAGAAGTGACAACGTGAAAGGCTGAACACGACTCACAGAGGGACATGCGAAGGGAAATGCTCCAGTGAAACACACACAGGCGGGCAGGCAGACAAGTGAGAGAAGACGCCTTTCACCCCCTTGTTGATGAGTAGAAGCAGAACAAACAGGCTGGACGAAAACGGAAAATAGCCACTGTGGGACGCAGAAAGGTTTTTCCCCAAATATATGCCAAACCCAAGACGCTGCATGCAACACGTGGTAAATGACTGTACACTTGGAGGTCAGCGTCTGCTTCTCAGAAGTTAGCTCCCTGAGAGTTATCAGCCAGCTAGGGCAATCAGACTCTACAGCAGTGGTTCTCAACCTGTGGG